AAAAAAAAAAAAAAAAAAAAAAAAGAGCTGAAGTAATCCATATATCCTCCATTCCCAGAATGGATAAACTATGATATATTCTTACCCTTCACCATTTACATTTCCAAATCATAATGTGAAAAGTAAAAGTTCCTTGATTCAATCTGTCGCAACAGCAAGAGGCAGACTGGGGGTCTACAATGCATGGCTTATTCTGTGGAAGTCTGGGGGCTACAAGCCCAAAAATCAAGATCCCAGCTGTCATTTCCGGTGCACGGTTCTCCTCCTAGCCTGTGGGTGAGCTCTTTTCCACTGGGTCCTCATGTGGCAGAGAAAGAGGGCAGAAGCGAGCTCTCCAGCACCTCTTGGGAAGACACTACTCCCACCAGAGGGCTCCACTCTCACGCCCTCATCTAAACTCAATACTTCCCAAACTCCAGATGCCATTCCATTGAGGCTGGAGCTCCAACATGGGAATCTGGGAGAGACACACTTCAATCCACAGCTGAAACAGAAAGGGCAAGGAGCGCAATGATACATAATCATTCCATTAGGATAAAATTCAAATCCAAGCAAAACTAAACATTGCTTAATGACACATATATTGCAAGTCACAGAAACAAAATATTGCCAGCAATAGTGGCACACACCTGTAATCCAAGTATGTAGGAGGCTGAAGCAAGAGGGTTCCAATTTCAAGGTAACCCTGGACTACATGGAAAGTCAGATGATAGCCTGGCTACAGAGTGAGACTTTGAGCCAAAGAAAAACATAATTAAACTATAAGAAAACCAAAAGGATGAATAGCAAATATTAAAGGATTGGTTTCACAAAAATTATATTCTCTAATCACATTACAACTAGGTAGAAAAAAGTCAACAGTTAAATGCAAATTATTTTAGTTTTCAATCAAACTTTTAATGAAAAGATCATAAACTAACAGTTTCTCATCTCTGTACATAAAGACTCAAGCTTCTGAAGGGAGAGACCGGTCCTGGGTAAATGATTCCTCTATGACACTGGAAGGCTGCACAGCTGCAGCTCCAACCTAAAGTTAAGCTCGGTGTGCCTCCCTCCATCCCTCCCCTGCTCTGGGAAGGGTGGAAAAGTAGGACATGATCCCTTTTCCAACTCCAGTGAAATGAAATAGATATTCTTCTGCAGGTACTGGCAGATGGAATGAACCCAGCCTGGCCCCCTGGGGCTCCTGCAAGCGGGGGGCGGGGAGTCCTAGGATCTCTCTTTGACCCAAGAGAAGTCTGTTATTCAGTATTTTCAGATCAATATATTACAGCAATAAATAGCAAGGTGGGGTAAAGGGATTTCCTGGTAGAAAGTTTAAGCAAGTGACACCCCCACTTCCTAGAGAGCATCCTAGGAAAAGAGTTTTGGGTGTCCTTAGTTTCCACAGCCCCCAACCACCTCCAGTTTATGAGGTCAGACTGAGACTTTGGACAGATCCTTCTCCATCCCTCATTTCTAGCATCCACTGCACAGGTTCATCAACGCTAACCCCATCATGGCTGGGTAAAAGGAAGACCTTGGTCACTGGGGCACAAAAGGGCTTGAGAGTCTGTCTGCTCTAAAAACAGGCTCTTAAATTTTTTTTTTTAAATCACCAATATGAATCCAAACTGGCAATTAATACACAAAATTCCCCTCCATAGCATAAACATCCTCCAAATTTACTTTGGACCTACCTGTGGAGTTTGCTCACCTGCGGTTTCTCCCCACCCACACATCAGCCACAGTGAATGCTCACTGCTCCCTCCAGTCCCCTGCCTCTGTCTTGAAACACCTTGCTCATCCACTTGCTACTAGTACCTCTTTAAGTCTCAGCTAAACACCAGGACTCTGTGCACTCTTCTTTAGACTCTCAGGAGAAAAAAAAAAAAAAAAGCTGTCCTTCCTACCTCCATGCTCCTTGGTACCATTTCTACTCCTGTTACATACTCATACTTGAACTTCCTTCATAGACTCCAAATTCTAACAGCAGGGTCTGAGCTCCGTATATGAAACACTCAGGAGAGATGTATACTATGAAACAAGTAAAATTCAGAAATTAAGGATATCATGAAAATTGTAACACAAGAAAAACAAGAAAAAAAAAAACTTCAGGAAAATGCCTACACAAGAGAGGAGGCATAGAAGAAAAGAGAACATTTTAAGAATGTACAATAGTCCAGAAGAATGAAGGATTACAGACTCAGAATAGAGAGAAGGACTGGGGATATAGGTAACTTGGTGACAGCCTTTGCTTAGCACAATCAAGGGCCCTGGGCTTAATTCCTGCATCAAAACAGAATACAAAGAAACCAAGAAATGATTCCAGTAGACAATGAGAGCTTCTAGAACGAAAGACCTGATGGAGCACCCCACGCTATGGATGTGAACAGTCTCACAGCAAGGAGCTCTGAGACTTCAGAAACAGGAGTCTATACATCCCGGTAAATCAGTAAAATCCTCATACACACAAAGGGAGGAGCCAGACTTGCTGCAGACTTTTTGAAACCCAACCCTGGAAACAGAAAGGTGGCACAGCACGCAGTCATGGAAGAAGTACTTCTGACCTGGAATTCTAAATCTCAATCAATGTACTTACACTAAGACTTTCAGAACAGCGAGGTCTCATAAAATCTACTTCTTGTTACATTTTCCCCAAGAAGTCCCTGGCTCCACCATGATAAGGCAACAAAGATCTTCAAGCAATTGAAGATCTGACATAGAGAACAGGCAAGAGAAATCCCTCAGATAATAAAGTCCAAACATGACTGCCAAGCAACTGGTGCAAACTGGTCCTAGTCAAAAGGTTCCCAAAGAGATTTCTTAACGAACAGGAAACTGGCAGAGACACATATTAGAGATAAGTAAATTTTAAAAAGCTAGCTCAACAGGAAAGCAATTATCTTTAAGGAAGATAAAATGTCAGAAGGGGGAAAAAAAACAAAACAAAATTTACAACATGGCTCAGCTGAAGACAGTTTACATAAAAAACTAATATGAGCACTGAGGAGTGATGTAATCCGAAGTATGAAATAGCTTTGAGGGACTGAGACTCGGATGTTCTGAGTCAGAACTAAATAATTATTTCCAATAACAAAACCAAATAGATCATGAAATGTCTACAAAAGAAAACTTAGCCAAAAGCACATTACTTACACAATGCTGTGAAAACCAGATAAAGGTAGTCGCCTTGGAAAGGAGACATAGGAAAGGCTTTTTACTTTTGAAATTATAATTTGATTACAACATTTCTTCCTTCCCTTTCCTCCCTCCAAACCTTCCCATATACCTCTCCCAGCTCTGCTTCAAATTCAGTCTTTTTTTTTTAAACTGTTATTGCATGCATATACGCATATGTATATACACACGTATTTCTAAATATAACCTGTTCAGTTGGTCTAATGCTACCTGTATGTGTGTTTTCAGGGCTGACCATTTGCTACTGGACAACAAACTGGTGCATTCTTCCCTGTGGAAGGCTCTTTCCTGCTATCAGTTTGCCTCCACTGCTTATAGTTCTTTCTGTAAGGCTGAGACCTCATGGGTCTGCCCAGTCTGGCAGTTCACTGGTGTCATCCTTCAGTTCACATCGGCACAAGCATGTTGGTGAGACTTTATGGGTGTAGCTTCTGATATTATTAAGAAACACAATCTCACAGCAAACTCCCTGATGCCCTGGCTCTTACAATCTTTCTGAAATGTTCCCTGAACCTTAAGAGTGGGGAGCCCACTGGAACTGGGCTCCACAACTCTCCATTTTGAATGGTTGTGGTTTTCTGTAATGGTCTCTGTCTGCTTACAAAGAGAAGTTTTCTGGATAAAGACTCCACTTACCTGTAGTTGTAAGGACAAATGTTTATAGACTGCTGCTAGAGATTATGCTGGTCTAGTAAATTAGTGGTTATAGACTCTCTTCCAATAACCATGAGTTCAGTAGAAATAAGCAGTTAGCTAGGTTTCCAGTATCAGGCATGGTCTCCCTCCTGT